GCACGGGTATATTTGTAGCAATAGCCAAAAATACATTGTATGGGTCAAAATTATAGATTTTTCTTTTATGCCAAAAATCATTAGGATATTAAGTAAAGATCATGTTCCATGAAGATATTTTATAAATTCCCTACCGTAAATATATTAAAACTTAATTTTTGATTAGTAACATGCATTGCTAAGAACTTAATTTGGACAACTTTAAAGATGATTTTCTCAATATTTAGATTTTTTTGCACCCTCAGATTCCAGATTTTCTAATAGTTGTATCTCGGCCAAATATTGTCCTATCCTAACATAACCATACATCAATGGAAAGCTTATTTATTCAGCTTTCAGATGCTGTACAAATCTCAATTTTGGAAAAATTGACACTTAAGACTGGTTTTGTGGTCCAGGGTCACATATGACATTGAGATTGTTCAACTTCAGACTGATCATTGTGTCCAATCTGTTAATGAATTTTCTTAACATTATTTGCAGAAGTGTTAAGAGTGTAAAAGTTGTGAGTGTTTATGGAAGTTTCCATTTACATGGGAAAGAAGGAGGTCAAGCCAGTAACAGCAGCGAGAGGTTTCCTGAAGTTGCGCATGTCCCACGTCTTCAGAGTGTCGTCTCCTGAAAACACACAGAGACAAAACAAGCTCAGCCCGAATCAAAGCCCTGATGTCAGACGGAGCTGCTGAAGGCGAGCGAGCGAGCGGCTGAATCGGCGTCATTGTCTGTCGGCGTGAGTCAGAGAACATCAGGCGTGACACGACGCTCGGGGATCTCCACATGCGTGCTGACTAACGCTCCTCAAAGTGTGATTCCCTGCAGCTGAGTCACACTCGGGTCACTTCCACACAAAACACAAGACTGGCTTTATCTGGACACAAGTCCACTTTGTGCTCGCGTCGAGCATACTAACACATATTCAATATATTTTAGCATTTAAAACCCACAAATTCAGCTGTCAAGGTCAATGCAGAATAGCGGTGGGCGGTATGAATAAAATCATATATCACGGTATGAATAATTTTATATCAAACTAACAGTACATTTCACCATATAGGCAGTTTTGCTGGAAAATGTAAAAATCGTATGTAAAACGTAAAACATACTTATTCTTATATTTTAATTTATCAAATTTTCTTTTTAAACATGGTATATATATTTATCTATATTTTAAAGATATTTTTAATATTTAATTTAAGAATTTTAACAAAAGTTTTTTTTATATTTTATTTATTTTATTTGTATTATTTAATAATAAACATTATTTTTAAACACATAGTATCTATCTGTCTAACGTTACCGGACGTGTCGGATCCGGCGGCGTGAGCCTGACGGCAGTGGAACTCGGTGTGGACCTGAAACAAAACAAAACAGCACATTAAAGAGACGGAGGAGGACCTTTCAACACATCTGGATGAGCAGAAGCCGAGACCTGCGCTCCATTAATAGACACATGAAGAGCTTTCATAGCCATACGGTTTCCATCTGCAAAACCAGCGAAAAACAACATCCCGCTCCAGTCTGAAAACCGCTTCATTCTTGGAAACATCGCCCAGAGCAGTGCATACGGTATTCATCCTTCACCCCTGTCGCTCACATTCAACATCAACACAAGGACTGAGAACGAATATATAAACCAAAACCCCTTTTTAAGCCAAGCACAGACAAACCAGCGGGTAACTTTCATCAATTCTTTTGACGCGAGACCCTCTTGTACCCTCCTGTCTGTTCAATTACTGGACCACCCGAGTCTTTACCCTCAACAGCTCATTACATAAGAGAGTGTGATGAGATCTGAAGGATTGCTCTGAGGTGAACAGACACCTCAGAGGAGCTCAATGAAGAGCCGGCAGCCTACAAGAGCGCCAACACCAATACATATCAAATGCATTTGTTTTTGTGGGGTTTTGACACTTTTATTAGCAGGATAGTGGAAAACTGAAAATAACATTTTTTATTCAATTAAATAAAATACAAATTTAAATACAAAAAAAAAATGAAAAAAATTAAATGAAATAAACAGATAAAAATCATTAAAAAAAATTAAATAAATTGAAATGATCAAATAAATAAACATGAAACAAAAGAAATAAAATCATAAATTAAAATAGAAATATAATAAATAAAAATAAATAAATGGAATTCAGATGAAAACCATTACTTAAACAAACAAATAAATAAATAATATACTATATAAACAAAATTGAATAAATTAATAAATAAAATTAAAATTAAATAAATGAAAAATTCAATTAAATAAAAAGGTGAAATAAATAATAAATTAAAATAACATTTAAAATAAATAAAAATAAATTCATTAATTAAAAATAAATCAATCAAATGAAATGAAATAAACAGGTGAAATAAAATTATAAATGAAAGTAAAAATAAACACATTCATGAAAAATGAATTAAAATAAAAAAAAACAAAACAAGAAATAAAACACTAAACCAACAAACAAATAAATAAACAAACAATTTGGCTCTCAATGGGGAAATTACAAATGAATTAAAAATAATAATAATATCTATCATTTTTTTATTTAAATATAATTTGGTGTATTAGTTTTACATTCATCTCATAACCCCTATGAGCTATAAGCAGGAGGCGTTACACACTAGTGAGTGATATCAGGTCCGTGTCCATCAGGGTACTGATGCGGAGGAAGAACTTCACCAGACTAGTGCTCTCGGACTGTAGACTGTGGAAAACAGCCTGGAGGACGTTTCTCAAGGAAGGAGAGGACGTCTGAAACTGACATGGACACGTGAATAGAGGTGTTTCTGAGCCCCATTAGTCTGATCAATAACCGTCTGACCGTCCACAAAGCATGAAGAACGGAGCAGAACATCAGCCTCAAGTAATAAAACACATGATGACCCAATACATGATCAAAGTGTCTATGATTCAGCTAATAAAATGAGATGAGGATTTCTGTCAGGCGTTCGCAAAACATCCAGAAACTGTTATTTTAGTATCACTGATACACTAAAACTGATTCTGTTAATATTTTTATATTTTCTTTGGGTAAAATTTTAGTAATTTTGATGTGTGTGTTTTGTCATTTTATAAGCGTTTTGTTTTTTAAATAGATTTTTTTAAATAGTGGCGAGCAGACCTATAAAGAATAAATAGAAGGAAATATATTTATATTTCAAATAAAAAAAATAAACAAACTATAAAATAAAATTAAAAACAACAAAAATATATTTATATTTGACTAAATATAAATATATTTTTAATACAGTTAAGAGCAGAGCAGAAAAAAATAAAATAAAAACATATATTTATATCTGACTTAATATAAATATATTTGTAATATAGTGGAGAGCAGAGCAGAAAAAAATAAAAAATAAAATAAATGAATAAAAATATTTTAAAAAATAATTTAAAAAAAATAAAATTGGGAAAAAAATAAATAAATGAAACCAGTGCAAACATCTAGCACCTTAACTTATAATAATAAAGACAATAAGTAATAATTATTGTGTTTAAATGATTATGTTTAATTCGTTTTGATAGTAATGTGATCAAGCTACAGTGTTTCATTCATTCCTTTATTTAACCAGATTAAAAACTCTTTACACGTTTGCGCTCCAGACATGAATGATTCTCAAATCATTGCAGAAAAATATCGTGAAATATATGAAAATGCATTATTTGTGAACTTTTTCCTGTGGAAATGTTCAAGGGGGTTTTGTTTTTTGTAGCCAAAACTTCACGCTTTCAGTCTTTACAGAAAGTGACTTACAAAAACAAACCCAACATGAGAGGTTTTCACTGGAGCCGTGACAACTAGCCCCGCTCAATTACAACAAATGAAGAGTGATGGAAACTGAAGCCAGTTTATGGCTGGAGAGCCGAAAAGAGCAAAAACACGACCCGAGGACGGGAGGAAACGACACAAGGGGGCAAAAGCAACAGATGGACAGCCAAAAAGTGAGAGACGGAGGAGAAAACGAGGTACAGAAATAGCAGCGGCGTGAGAGCGAGTGATAACGTCCTGCGCCGTCCTCAACACCAAACCAATTTACTCCTGCATAATTGACCATCTTTATCAGAGTTTCTCCACCTGCTAGCGGCTCTGCTGATTAACCCACAGCCGCTTCAGCTTAATTAATTCAAGAAAGCTGCTCCACTAGAAACGAAGGACGTACTGGCGCTCGTAACGTCTGTCAAGTGCCTTTATGTTTCTCCACAACCTGAAAGACATCATGAAATCACAACACGTTATTGACTATCTCTGCTCTTACGGCGTATGATTGATCAGTGTATGTTATTGTAAAAGGAAATAGGATGCTTTCATAATTACAAAATTATATTAGAGCAGTGGTTCTTAACCAGGGGACCGGAGCCCACCAGGTGGCCGTAGGAAAATGTTTTAATTAAATTTAATTTTAAATTTAATTTTAAATTAGATTTAATTATCTATTAAATACATTTTTATGCATTAAAATAATCTGACTTAAAACGCTAATAAATGTAATGGAAAAAAAAATGTTCCCCTCAACAACTTACTGAAAAACATATAGTTCTTGAAATCTCTGGAATAACAAAATTAATTGTGGTTGATTAATCTAATATATCTTTCCGTCTGTGTTAACAGCAGCCTTTGAAAACAAGCAGTGCTTAATTAAATTAGGATTTTTTATGTATTAAAATAATCAAATTGAATTAAAATACTAAAAATGTCATGGAAAAAATGTTTACAAAAATTACATTTAAATTTTTTTCCCCCTCAACAATTTTTACTAAAATAAAAAAAAACAGTTCTTCAAACTTCTGGAACAACAAAACTAATCGTGGTTGATTAATTTATATATTGAATATATATATATATATATATATATATATATATATATATACTGAATATGTCATTCAGTTTGTGTTAATAGTCTTTGAAGACAAAAATGTAATGGGAAAAAATGTTTAAAAAATATTTTTTCCTCAACTTTGTTGTTTTTTTTTTGTCCCTGAAGAACATACAGTTCTTCAACTTCTGGAATCACAACATTAATTGCATTTGACTAGTATTAAAATTAAAATAATCTAACTGAATTAAAATAATTCATATTAAAATAATCTAACTGAATTCAAATGAAAAAAAAAGTTTAACTGTGAGTCATTAAAGCCTCCATGATCTCAGAGCTCAATAACACAGGACAGAAAAACGGTTTTCATCAAACCATTTCATGGGGGTTTTAACAAATACCATCAACCTAATAATTCATAATCCAATGAAATCTAGTCGCATCATAGAGGTTAAAGGGTTAGTTCACCCAAAAACTAAAATTCTGTCATTAATTACTCACCCTCGTGTCGTTCCAAACCCGTAAGACCTTCGTTCATCTTCGGAACACAATTTAAGGTATTTTTGATGAAATCCGAGAGCTCTCTGACCCTCCCATAGACAGCAAGGTAACTACCACGATCAAGCTCCAGAAAAGTACCAAGATGATCGACAAAGTAGTCCGTGTGACATCAGCGGTTCAACTGTAAAGGT